ATATTGCCACTGGACGAAAATATTGAATAGATGGCCAAAAAAGAAAAAAGAAAAGAAAATATTGGATATGACTAAGCATGGCAGGTGACATTACCTTCATATTAAAAAAAAAAAAAAAAAAGGAAGAAGAAGAAAAAAAACACAACAAAAATACAAAAATAATGGCTCTCATTAATCCATTATGAAAAGAATAATCATCTTACAATTGGAACCAAAATCTCAACCGAACATCTCCAAAAACCCCAAATAACCAATTTTGAGATTCCTAGACTATAAAATAAAATAACATAAAGGACACAGGCACAGAATAGCGCCTGAATTTATAAAATGACTGTCTATTAACCCAGCAAGGTACATGTATCATGGAACCCTCCATACTGCTGGCAATGAGAAGAGACCAATGGGTTGCCAAAAATATAAACCCCGGAGGCAGAGGGGTATTTTTCAACCAATCAATAGAAACTAACAAAACAAAATGTATGGTATAGACAACAGGCAAAACATTGCAACTCAGTCGAGAAAAGGCTTAATTCTACCAAAGAATCGCCCTACTCACCACAAACTCGCAGACTTGCCGGACTCGCACTAGTGAACTTGAACCTCGAAACCCTTTGGGGTTCATCCCAACTACACTGACCCAAAAAACCAGCAAATGTTTTGATGGAATAGGAACCAGCTCTTGGTTTCCATAAACCATTTACAAATGGACATGCAAACAAAACTGACTCGCTCAATTCCAATGCTTGATTTACAAAGCAGCAAGCAGCAGATGCCTTCTCTATCTTTCCCTTTTCAATTTCTGCTCTTCAGCATGCTGAGCAACACCATTAGCACGTGCTTGATAATGGAAGTCTAGCGTCTGTGTAAGGTTCTGGAACCTAATAGGATCCGATGCTTGCATGACTTGATTGATCGTAACAAAAAACAAAGTTATCCAGTTTCAGACTACCATAAGAATAACAAGAAAAAGATAATGAATTTTGAAAGGTAAAATATAGAGGGATTATTTTTCCTTACCTTTGATGGTATCCACAAAGAAAACAAAAGGATCCACCTCATCAATCGGTGACTGCAGCTCTTCGTCGTCACAGAAGTCATCATCTGTGTCGTAGTCGTCGTCATTTGCACGGAAAGCCCTAGCCTAGAATTGAAAAGAATGGAATGAAATTACAAAATAACTATCACACTGGAAACATGGTACGCTGATTCCAAATCATGACTTCGCAATAATACTTAAGCAAGATGGTAGAGAAGCCAACCCATTAAAAGCATTTCACTTAGCAATATTTTTTTTAGGAATAGGCAAGTTTTTTCATTCAAAATTCCCCAAAAAGGGGTAAGGACAGTCTTTCACCTGGGCATCCGCAGGGGCACTTTGCAATATTTATATGTAAACATTTTATTTTATTCCTTATTTTCTCAAGTGAAGCCTTTCTATTAGTGAGTACTAATAAATAAATAAGCAAACAATCATTTGATACTTATCATATCAAAATGTCATTCAGAGCTAGCATGAACCAATGAATATGAAATTTCAGCATTGTGAATTCTTCAGAATATCATAAAAGGATAAGATTATGCATTCATTCGCTACATGCTGGTATTTTGGGTCTCTCAAGCCTTTTTCAGATCCATTAGTTTCAAAAAGCAAATACCACTGAGCAAAATACTTGGCAAAACTCTACCCGCTAAACGAGGGAGCTTAGATCAGATTTGAGAAACAAAATACAAATGCTTAGGAATGCACCTAAAACACACATACCTGTGCAGCCAACTTTTGAAGTCTAAGGCTGTCTGCTTCATCCCCCTCTTCAGCATCTTCTCCCATTTCCTTGTCAGATCCATCACCTTCTTCTTCATCGTCATCAGTTGGGAAACCATCCATATCATCATCATCTTCAGCCTCCTCTTCCTTTGCAGCTTCTGTTCAAAGAGTACACAACAATAAAGAGAAGGGAACTAAAATGTTATAAAACAATATTATATTATTTACATCACAGCCACTCTGCCAAAAGTATAATAAAAGAGTGCCTAATAGACATG